CTCAGAGAGTTATTAGGAAATGGTTTATTGCATTAAGAACATTGATAAAATGGAACTTTATAATGAAATTAATTCTTTTAATTAACAAGTTATTAGAAATTGGTGGGCTTAGGATTATAATGAAGGTTGATAAAACTGGCTCTTATTATATATCATTATTTTGACATCTCAAGGTGACAAATAATCATATTTATTCTTACAAAGTGAGTTAGAATTTAATTTTGCTTAAATTTCCAATTTTTTTAAACAGAAAATTTTTCTATAAATGAATAGTAAAAAATTTGCTTCATCTAAATACAGGTAGCCCTCAGTTTATGCCGACTCAATTTATGCTGATTTACAATAACGCCGCTGCGCAATTTGCCGTTTTGCAGTGTAATTCTTCAATTTTCCCTATGCTAGAGTGATATTCATTTCAGTGTTGACGTATTTACTGAGCCGCGACATTGTACATTTGTTAAAACAAAGATTTTTATTGAATATATTTATTTTTTCTGTTTAATATTATTGGGTATGTATACGTTTGCGTTAAATTAATATTAAAATACTAAACGTTTAGGTACCCTTGAGTCAAATTATTAAACTTAATAGTCCAATAAATGCCATTCAAATCCATAGTGCCAATGAATGTATCCCATATCAGTTCATTCAGGAAAACACCTTACAATGCAGTAGCACTTCTGGCGATCACAAACTATCATTAGTGAGACAAATCTACTTCTCGTTGGCCAGACGATACTTTTTTATTAGCCAGACGATATCTACTTCTTGTCAGTAAGATGATATCTATCTCTCCTTAGCCACCTTCAATTGTCCCACTCAAACTGACCTTATATATGCGCTATGGTGACCGGTGGTCAACCAGCTCATCTGTAGTTCTACATCAGGTTAATGTATCCTTTCAACTATGGAAAGTTTGACGGATGAACTTTGTGAGTTAGACAATGATTGAGAGTGAAGTGCAAATGTAAAATGAAGCATCATCGCATCCATTCGACCATATTCCGAAATTCTTAATGAAAGAAAACAAAAATGTAAACAATTAAAGATGGATACTTATTTCCGAAAAATGTAGAGATCCGAAACTAAAATTTTTTAATAAAAACATTTCATTTTATTTTATGATAAAATACATTTTAAAAATTAAATTTATATGTATTTTGTATTATATTGTATTAATAAATAAAATTATTTGCTTATTTTTCACTTATGTAGAACCTAACCCTATATCTCACTGTAAATATGGGTTCATTTTATGCCGATTTGATTTGCACCGGCTTTTGTAGGAACGGAACTGTGGTGTAAACCAAGGGCTACCTGTATATAAAATTACTTGTCCTGACTGACTGACTGACCAACCGAGTGACTGATTCATCATCGCCCAGAGCAAACCACTGAACCTAAAGAGGTGAAATTTGGTATACAGGTAGTTCATCATGAAAACACACACTAAGAAGAGATTTTTGGAAATTCCCCCATGAGGGGAGAAGGAGAGGATTAAGGCTTAATCTGAAGAATGGCTTCTACTGTACTATTTTAGATGCAATTTTTTGTTGTCAACTATGTTTATAGTCTTCATTGAGTACTTAGGTGTATTAAATTGATAACACTTCAGACATTGTTATAAATATTTTTATATATTTAAATTTTTTAACCAAATGTTTGAACCATTTTAAATTTTAATTTGTTATTGCATATTTGTTCGATTATAGAACAATTGTAAATGTTCCAGAAAATTGATCAAATTGAAAACAGTTCATTTGATTCTCAGCAATTCTCATCATTCTCAGTGGTAGTGTTATATAACAATTACTATGGTTGTTGAAATACTGAATATAAATGGTGTTTGCTTGCAAAATCTGTGCGGGCGAAGTCGCAGGTAACAGCTAGTTAATTAAACATATTTTAAATTTATTTTGTGAAAATGTGTGTGGAGAGCAATTTTAGTTGAAAATTATTCATTTTATTTATCACATTCTTAGATTAGCCCACTTGATCAGTAATTTTTCATGTACTATTTTAGCTATAAAATAGACCAAAAGTTGTTGTATTGTGTGGGAAAGGGAAGTAGAACTTCCCTTAGAAAGTTGTTATTGCACATATCTGACGATAATCTGACAGGACATACATCTAACGAAAAGAACAGATGATCTTAAAATCTGATTGGTGGAAAGTTTAGGATAATAAGGAGAAACAATCACATTTGTGGCAGTCCACAAAAATTAGACACTGCCATATAGGAAGGCAGTCCACAAGAATAAGATGCTGCCATAGAGAGTTGGTCCTCCATAATACGAACGTGCCATTAATTACAGGCAGTTCACAACCAATTCAAACCTGCCATGTTACCGCAATCCATGACCAGAAGGAACCTGCCATAATAATTAGAAGAAGAAGACAGTCCTGCTCCGACTCTTCAGCATTCATCTTGCATTCTCCAAGTTTGATCAACAGAGGTATTATCATTATTTTAACCGATTGTAATCTCTCTCTCTCTCACATTTAGAGGTATATTTTAGATAGACTCGATTTACAATAGGTTATATTTATGTATCTCAATTTATGTATCTCTTTGTTTTATTTCATTCATTAAACCCTTTTTGTTATTTGTTAACCTGTCTGATTCCCTCTGTTAGTTAAGTACGGACATTCACCCCGCTATAATCAAACTTACCCGCGACTTCCCCACTTGATAAATAACATCCCTCCATTTTAAATATCGATCATAATATCCCGAGTTAAGGTGCAAAATCCTTCCCTAGCTGGTGCCAGGTCCTGATGTCAGAAGGATCACATGATCCAAAAGACACTTTATAAAAATGCCATCCTTTAATGANCTATTACAAATATACTGAATTATTTATATTGTTATATTGACCAAATAATAATTTATGGGCCAAATGAATAATAATAATTAAAATTGTTAATTTGAATGTTTGAAATATGACACACGATAGGGGCGCCTCTAGTGTCCATTATCAAACGGTTACGCGGACAGACACCTGTTGAATGGGTTATATATATAGATATAAACTCAATAGCCTGTTTTATATAGTTTGAGAAATCATCAGAATTTGCTTTATATTAAAGCAGATTATTTTCTCATATAATACTGAATTCTACTTCTGCATACTTCAAAAGCAATAATTTTTGCTAAAATAGGATGGATGTAACAAACTCTCCTATTACCAGCAAATGTTTAGAGAAAATAAGTGTTTTTGAAATAAGATCATTTAAAAAATGAAAATAAATTTATATATCCCAAATTAGAAAGTTTTAGCTTTGATAGTCAGTTTGATAAAGAATGAAAATAAACAATTAAAATGATGAGGACAAAGCACAAACATATAGTTCTAATAAAGAAAATGATAGAGATGAGGAATTTCACACAGTTTGTGAAATTCCTCATTTTCTCTATCATTTTCATCTATCTATCATATCTATCATTTTCATCTATCATTTGTCTATCACACATGTGATAGACAAATGATAGATGAAAATGATATCTTGATTATGATAAAATTCTGTCATAATCAAGATATATATATTAGCTATCCTCTTGACAGTTCATATTCTAAATCTTATATAACCGAGGATCTTATCAAAATATATTGAGCCAAAACCAATTGAAGGTATATATTTCTAAGACCTGTCAATTTTAATTAAATTCTATTTTTGTTTGAGCTTTCATTTTATAGATTATATCATGTCTCATTAGATGATGTTGATGTCACAATTCAGTTTTATAGATTCTGTATTGAAATGTGTCCAACATAATTTGCATAATCCAATATGCCAAAAACTGCATAGAACAAATTAGATCCAAAGTGACAAAAAATTTAATTATAATGAAATTATATTTATATGTACACTTAAAAATACAGTTGGGTAAGATTAATGCTGTAACTTTAAACTTGTTTTTAACACACTGATTCAAAAATGATTTTACAAATGATATAAATATAATCAAACCCTGTTATTATGTTATCAGTTTATGCAAAGTAAATTTGCAGTCCTGTGGATGAAGGAAGATGGATATTTCAATGTTAATGAGTCTGGTTAATACAAATTTCATTAATACAAAGTGCCAATCAAGATCTTTGAACTTCATATTAATGAAGACTAACAGTAATTGAAAAATTTTTCTTAATCATAATATATTTGTTTAAACGTTTATTTTTCCAGAAATATTAGAAATAATTATTCATTTAATCATAATTTTTTTATTTTAAAATCATATATAATTTTAACATTTAAATGATATGATATTAATATCTGGTTTTCTTCTATACATCATTACTGATTATAGAAAATTTTCTTTTTTTCTTACTTTATTGTTTAAATTTAAAGTAAAAATAATTTTTGAATTAATATTGAGTATATTACAGATGTGTATATAATCTACAAATAAAATTTAAAAAATATAAATTTTCAGAATGATTAAAATCTCAATGATTATAAAATTTATATCATTGAAAAACTCAGGTATGTTTTTTTTTCAATCTGATAAATGATTTGTTCTCAAAAATTCTATTTATTTATATGATTAATTGTTAAAGAAACACAATACATTGATTTAGTTTAATTTATTTCTATTGATTTATATGAATTATAATATATTTATACTTTATAATGAAAGTTCTATTAAATTACAGATATATTTTACATGTAAAATTTTAAAAATTGCATATTAAAGTTCTTTTTTATCATAAAATAAAATGTAATTAATATATACATTTAAGAAAAGAAAAGAATAAGAATTTTTAATTTAATTAGAAATGATTTATAATAAATAATATAATATAATATAAAATAATTAATCATGAAAGAAAATGAAAAGAACAAAATGAACTTAAAAAGTAATAAAAAAATAAGCTAAAATAATAATATGTTTAATTTGTAATAAATTAACATATTTATTGTGTATATTTTGAATTGATTAACAGACAATATTAAAACATTTTAACCATAATAATTTAACCAAAGATAAAATGTCTTACCTAAAATGGACAAAGTTACAACCACACAATCAAATACATTCCATGGCTCTTTGAAATAATACCACCTAAGCGCAAACATTTTTAATACACACTCAGTAGTGAAAATGGCAATAAAGAATATATTTAATCTTTCTAAAATACTGTCAAACGTTTCAGTCTGATGATAATGTTCCATTGCCATCACCAACATATTAAGTCCAATAAATAACATGATTGCCATGTCAAATTTTGTGTTAGTAATTAGATCAAATACAACTGCTTGTAATTTAAACTGAAAAAGAAAATAATAAATATTTATTATTTTGATTAATAATAGGTATTATATAAAAATGTACTGTGGTGAAAATTTAAATTACCCTTGGTCGAGGAATAGCTTTTGCAGGTTTCTTCTCTCCCATTTTTTTCATGGCATTATAATATTTCTTTTGGTCCTCTGTCATAAACATCTCAAGGGAACCCCCTAAATAATAAAAGTTATTTACAGTGTTAGTAAAAATGTAATTAAATAACATTTTAAATCTATTTATATGAAATAATAACAGATATGTGAAGAAATAGTAAAGTCCAATACAAAAAATTTCTAAATAACTTTTATTAAAATAAAACTTAAATAATAAGGGTAATTATTTATTTATTTATGTTAAGCTCATATTTTTTCTACAAAATATGAGCTTAACATAAATAAAATAAATAATAATAATAATGTTGTTGTTGTCGAAACCGTGTTGTATTTATGTATTGTATACTGGCACAATGAAGTGACTTTTCTTCAATACTAGGCAAGTTTCAATCTTTATTCAGTTAGAACGCTTTGCTATACATCTACGTTTCGGGCATTTGCCCCTCCTCAGCCAACTCACTTTGATACAAACATCAAATATACAGTAGAACACCAGACGACTCATAGGTTTACATAACGTTTCCACCATAAATTCCGTTTTATTTTTACAATAACATAATTTGTTATCTTAATTATTACTTTCTTATCTGTTCTTACAAGCGTATCTCATAAGCCTTTTCTGTCACACTGTCAACTAGTAGTGATATGCAAATCATCGAACTAGTTGACAGTGTGACAGAAAAGGCTTATGAGATACGCTTGTAAGAACAGATAAGAATGTAATAATTAAAATAACAAATTATGTTATTGTAAAAATAAAACGGAATTTATGGTGGAAACGTTATGTAAACCTATGAGTCGTCTGGTGTTCTACTGTATATTTGGTGTTTGTATCGAAGTGAGGTATGTTTCACAAAAAATTTTTTGTACGTTTTTTAGTTTTTATTTGTGTTCGGTTGTATCCATATAATGTTTTATATATATTTAGTTGGCTGAGGAGGGGCAAATGCCCGAAACGTAGATGTATAGCAAAGCGTTCTAACTGAATAAAGATTGAAACTTGCCTAGTGTTGAAGAAAAGTCACTTCATTGTGCCAGTATACAATACAACAAATAATAATAATGTAAATCTTTATTTTTGTATACTTTATATTTGAGAAATTTACTGTTTAAAGTTATTGTATTTATTTGCCTAAAGATAAATTGAACTTGTTGAAAATACTCATCATTAAATTACTTTTTGATTTAAATGTTTCATGGTTTCAACAAACTTTGGTAAAATTTAACCGATGTATGAGTATTAAACTTGTTATTTTAAAAATCTGATTCTGGAGCATAAAATTTCATAGTAGTGCATTAATGAAAAATTATACTGTTTAATGTATAATTGTTGTATATCAAGTTTGGTGAAAATGTAAGACTAAAAACTGTTCAGAGAAAGCAATTTTTAACTCTCATATAGTGATTCCTTCACCGTTGTTTTTTTATAATGTGTATATTTAAGTTAAAATCAAGTTAAGTTTTTCCCACATTTTTTATTTTTGTTTAATTTATCATTATTGATTTGTATACTTTTGAATCAAATCAATAAAAACATTCTTCTTGATATTTGTGGGTTCGANCCCAAAAAAATTAACAATTCATAACGTAACGAACTGGGACCTATACCAAGACTACATAAAAACGCATTGGGATCCCACTGATCTTACCTCGATCAATCAACCACAAGACATTGATTATGCTGTCGAACAGTTACAATATGCTCTCCGCAGAGCATACTTTCAAGCCACAAGAATAAAAACTAGTAAGCCCTCAGCCCCATGGTGGAATCAGGAACTCACAACCCACAGGAAGAAAGTGCGTGTGGCTAAAAGGAAGTACAGGAAAGAGTCAGATCCCTACAATAGACAGATACTTTACCAAACCTATCAAAGGTATTTTAAAGAATACAAAACTCTGATCAATCAAACCAGAAGGAAATCATGGCAAAATTTTTGCAATGCCTCCAATGAACGGGGTCCCTGGTCAACCCCATACCACACAGCCATCAAGAAAAAGAAACTGCTCTCAACCCCAGCAACCATCGCAAACTCTCAAAAAAACACCATCACTTTAGAAGACACCTATAAAACCATCTTCTCTGATCTTTTTCCTCCTGATAACCCCAGCACAGACACCAACTACCACAAACAGATCAGGAAACAGAGTAAAAACACCCTATCCGATGCAAATGACAGGCCTTTCACCACCCAAGAAATTTCCAGGCAATTTAAAATCATAAAGAAACGGAAAGCTCCTGGACCAGACTCTATTGATTGGAGAATGGCCCAGCATGCTTATGCAGCCATTCCCACCACGTTCTCTGTCATTTTTAATAAATGCCTAGACTGTGGATACTTCCCGAAAAAATGGAAGGAGGCCTCCATTAAACTAATACAAAAGGATAAGGACACCTCTCCAAATAAAGCAACTGACTATCGCCCCATCTCCCTACTCTCTGTGGTAGGGAAGGTGTTGGACGCATTAATGGCTGACAGAATCCTACATCACTTAAATGCTAATAACATCCTAAACCCCAACCAATATGGGTTCATGAAAGGAAGAGCCACCCATCATGCTCTTGAAAAGGTCATTACCTACGTTCAGGAGGCCAAACAAAAGGGGAAACATACAATCATGGTCAGCATCGACTTCAAAGGGGCATTTGACCACGCCTGGTGGCCAGCCATCCTGGCCACCCTTGCCAGTGTCCATTGCCCCCTAAACATCTTTAATCTGCTGACAAGTTATCTAACGGAAAGGTCCACCCTCGCTGTGGAAAACGGTGAAGCCCTATACAGGACCACCATCAGCAGGGGCTGCCCCCAGGGCTCAAAGTCTGGTCCACTCCTGTGGAACATTCTATATAATGGGATCCTAAACCTCACGAAAGACACCCCTCAAGACGGGAATCCCCATATTCAAGGCTATGCTGATGATACAGTCATTCTCCTTTCATACCAAAACCAAGAAAAACTTCAAAATTATACTAATAACTTTCTGGAGGTGGTTTATAAATGGAGTAAGGATAACAACTTAATAATCAACTATAACAAATGCTCAGCTATGGTTTTCCCTAAAGGAAATCCACTTCAAAAGAAGCCCACTATCAAGATAAACAGTGAGAAAATCCAAATTGTTAACAACTTAAAATATCTAGGGATCATTCTCGACTCTAAGCTTTCATGGAAGGATCATGTTTACTATTCCTATAATAAGGCCATTAGAGCCAGCCATAGCCTCAGGACCATAGCCAGAAATGGCTGGGGCCTCAACAGTATAAACAGCAAACTCATCTACAAATGTGCTATTGAACCTATCCTCACCTATGGCTGTGAGGTATGGGGGTATGCAGTAAATAAGGCCCACAACCGAAGAAAACTGCTCTCGGCTCAGCGGAAAGCGGCAATAGCAATCACTAAGTCCTACAGCACTGCTCCCACAGACGCTCTCCTAGTGATTGCAGGGTTGATCCCAGTCAACCTAGTGATCATCCAAAAATATGTATTGAACCTCATAGTTGGCAAGCTTTCCTCAAACATCAGCCCTGATACCATCCACAAAATGATCAAAAATCACAAACTGCCGGACACAATACACCCCCTGATCGACGAGGTAGCTAACAGTGGCCTTGACATCAAGAAGGTCCAAACTTCCATCCACCCAGCAAACAGCTTAACCTTCAACTTTGTGCAACATCCACCTCAGTCCTTGAGGGGACTCAGTTTTTACACGGACGGCTCCAAGGCTAATGGCGCTGTCGGTGCAGCTGTTCACCTGCTGGACCCCCAGAGAAAGCTCTTTTGGAATGCCGCTTACAAGCTGTACGAGGGTTGCTCTGTGAATCAAGCGGAGTCTTTTGCAATATGGAAAACACTCCGTTATATACACGATAATATCCAGCAGTTCACTGGGAAAACAATTAATATAATAACTGACAGCAAAACAGCCCTGCAACAGATAAAAAAAGGAAACCGTAAACTCCCCATCATAAGTAACTGTCTGGACACATTAAGCGCCCTAGCCAGTGTGACCCATATCACCTTCTATTGGGTCAGGGGTCATTCTGGCAATATCGGAAATGAAACAGTGGACAAACTGGCAAAGCAGGCTCATAAACTAGCCTGCTCTTACTCCTACACCTCCGTTCCCATCTCCTTCCTCACAAAGGAACTTACTGCCATCACTATGTCAAGGTGGCAAAACGACTGGGACAGTAGCCACACTGGACGAAATACCCACAACTTCCTCCCAGACGTTAACAATAGGTCCCACCTCACTTACCTGAGTGCGACTCATACTATAACGCAGATTCTCACAGGCCACGGCAATTTCAAGTGCTACCTTCATCGCTTCCTAAAGAAGGGAAATGGACTTTGCGACTGTGAAGTAAAGGAGAGGGATGACCCTTTCCATATCATATTTACTTGTACCAAGTTCAATCAGTATCGTCAACAACTAAGAGACCTGACAACCCAAAAAGGGCACAACTGGCCCTGCCACCTCAGCGCATTCCTCGAGGACAAGGACATATACACCATATTCGTCAAATTTATCAACAACCTAAACTTAGCAGACTATCAAACCCCAACTGCTACCCAAGACAATATGCCAGCTAACTCACTAAATAGGCACAGTCAGACTCCATAACTCCAGGATCCAAGGACAACATCAAGGCTCCATTTTCTTTTAGGACTTAATCAGATACCTACGTATGGGTGTGATTTCTTCCTTGTATCACTCTTCAGCACCCATCATTAGCCTTCAATCGTAAAGTAAGAGCAACCACGGCGCCAATCATCGTTCATGTGAATCATCTTTCTGTCTTCACGTACAAACATTATATATTGCAATTTTGTATTTCTGTGTTTTAATAAACAAATCCCAGCTGGAGCCCCTCCTTCTCTTCCCCCTTCTATTACCATTGCTAATTCTTTCATCCCTCCCCTCCTTCCCTTATCCTACCTCCTTACCTCTCCTTTCTTCCTTTCTCCTTCTAGGGCTATACCTCTGAGTAAGGCCCAACCCCCCTTTTACCAACTGCCTCAAATTAGTACTGTATTGTCTTGCCCCTGTACCTCATACTTTTCCATTAGCATTGGAGTTGTACTGGTCATCCACCTAGCTCCTTTCAGGGGAAATTTTTGAATTGAAATAATGCAACTTCTGGTTTGCATCAGAAGTTCATATTATGGTTAATCAGAGCTTCCTGCCCATAAGCTTGCCATATCTGGTCTCAGTTTTCATCTAACTGCTTTCTTGAGATTATGGAAAAACAGATGGATGACAGTGAAAATTTATGGGTCTACATTTTTTTCAAATTGCAGCACAACAAAATACATGATAAAAAAACTAATATAATTTTCATCAAGAATACAAAAGATATTATCACTTTTATTTTATTATTAAAATATATTTCAAATTAGCACTTAAATATAGAACTGATTATGTATCAACTAGAAAATGTCATATAATAAATGTGTAAACTGTGGCTTAAATTCTTTAAACATATATTTAAATAACAATTGAAATTAAAATGATTATAATCAACATTATTGTAATAAACTAAATGGGCTTATTAATATTGTACTATAAAAATATGAAAATGAGAGTTTATGTGAATAAGCTGATCAATTTATAAATTATGTCAATTTCTAAGATGACTGACTTAATAATTTTATTATTTAATAGTTTCTTATTAAGTGAACTTACCTTAAAGGAAACAGCAAAACATGATAATATGTACGTCTTTCTTTAATAATAAAATAATAAACACATTAAATTAAATAAGGCATTACAAACATAAATATATTTCATTTTAAATATAAATTATTATTCATATTATTATATAAAAGTTATATTAATAAATAAAAATACCTTACTCATTAGTGATATTTTATGTTTAATTTTATATAAATATGTTGAAAACAATGAAAATTAATTTTCAATTATGGTCAAAATAGTTAAAAAGGAATCAAATACTTATAAAAGAAGATGGTATGAACACTTAGAAATAATAAAAACAAAGAGAAAATCATGAATAATAATTTCGGCCAAAAATTATACAAATTGTGGTACACATACTTGACCAAAGGGGACATGGGGGGAGAAGTGTGTAAATGGATAGGGGGAGAGGGTGACGGCTGTTCTGGAATGTACTTCGAATCATCTTGTTACTTTATTCATTTTACAGTGAATCTGCTTATTATTTTGTTTTAACAATGTTTATTTTTACTATTTTACTGTTTTACTAGTACCTTAGTTTATTATTCTGTTTTATTGTATCAGCACTACCCTATTTTATGTATAATTTTTTTTGTTTTATGACGTGTTTAATCTTTTAATGTTCTGAACATCAAATCGACATATTAAATGTAAGTCTACAGCCTTTTTTCATTTGTGTCAATTATGGTACTTTAAAATTGTTAATCTCCTTTTAATTTTGTAGCAAAAAAGCTGATGAGGGACTCCAGGTCTGACATGCATTTTGAAAATAAAACTGTTTTTCTAAGTCTAATTCGTGGTCCTGTGGTGGTGTATAACTCTATCGGTAAAGTAAGGCCAATCTTAGTTCTCACAAGTCATTAAGAAATCTAGACAAGAAGCGTATCATAGTATACATTTATATATTTATGAAGTTTTGATATTATTTGAATTAATTATTTTTTCGTATTTAATATATTATGTCAGACAGTCACACATTATAAATTTTTAAACTTTGGAAACACGAATAGTACAAAACATAAGATACTATAAGTCATTCACTTAGTATCGATAAATTTATAGTAGTATTTCACAAATGCTAATAATGAACAGATCATTTGAATTCACTAACTCAACAGACACATACTCAGCATTTGACTGGCAACAAATTTTGGCTCAGGAGTATATACTAAACATGGGCCCATGTAAATATGCACATTATATATATATATATATACACTAACATATATACTACATATATATATACCATATTTACTCACATATAAGATGACCTCGCATATAGGACAAGGTGTGACTTTAAAGATCAAAGTAAAGAAAATTAGATTTATTAATACTATTCTAATTTTATTTCATTTAATCACAAGTAAAATATCAAATGAATGTAAATGCACACATTGTCCTGCAAAATTACTGGCATTTTAAACTTTAAGGAAAAAACTTGTGAAATCAACAGCATAATTTGTTCACATAAAGCTGAACAACTGGGAACTTTTCTTTGCCAATTCTTAACAGTCGAATCAACTCTCCATTGATTACACTTATTAGTTTCTCTGAATTCTGATTTCTGAATAATCATCTGTTTTCACATGAGAATGGATTAAAACTTATATCATGCTCCCATGTAATTTTGGAATTTTAATCTGAAATTAAATTCAAAAGCTTTGCTTTTCCTATTGCTATTCATCTTTACCCCCAACAATATACAAGAATGATTCAAACAACCCTGAAAAAATACTTATGTTTTTAAATACAAGAGGGTAAGCATCTGGTAAAAAATGCAAATACACTGTTCATAAAAATTATTTGCAAAAATGCAAAGAATCTTTTGCTCACGCATATAGGACTCCTTGGAGAAGCCATGATAAATTAATAAAAACCTCATCTTATATGCGAGTAAATATGGTATATATATATTATATATAAATGGTCCACCACCACTGCATTTGCTTGACTGATACATAATCCTATTAACATGCTGAATTGCTATCAGATCTATCATAGCAAATGTGTTAATAGCAGTTAACTTTCAGCTTTCATTTGAAATCAGTCTATTGAATAATAAATATAACATATACTTCCATATGCAGGCATTATTAGAGTTTAATTTATATTTCTAAATAGAATAGTTTTCAACATTTTCATCAATAAAGATTCTATAATAGGGATTTTTAAATATCAAACGAATGGCTAAATATTATTATTACTTAGAATGTTATTCATTATTATATATGATATTTCTTTTGTTTTTGTTTTCTAGTTTTTTTTTTAGGAATATTATTTAAATTACAGTAAATCTAAAATATAATATATAAAAAGATACAAATAAATTAATGTTTATAATTTTTAAAAATAATATAATTTATATTCAAGTAAATAAATCGAAACTATAAAAAATCTTTATTAATTTAAATTTTTAACATATTTTATTTGGAAGTAATCTAACAATTATCAATGATGAACCAAAAGATAGAGCAACATCAGATACAACTGGCAATAATACATTTATATAATTCATTTTTTAATAAAAATAAGTAATAAAAATTTCATATTATTAATTATTATTTATTTATAAATAAATTTTTTAACTAAAAATATTTTAACATATAAAATATACTTATCTTTTTTTTCTGTTCATTAAAATTATCAATGATGACACCAATGAATAAATTCAGAGTAAAGAATGAGCCAAAAATAATGAAAAATACAAAATACAAATACATATAAATATTATCTTCATCTTTAGGCTGTTGGCCAATTTGCCTAGAATCAATTGCATCGTTCATAATGTCTATCCAACCTTTAAATGTTGCCTTGAAAATAAAAATATTTTCTTATTATCTTTGAAAAAAATAATATGATGATGAAAAATTATATGTAACATTACAATTAACTTATATAAAAATTTTCAGTTAATAATAATAATAATGTTTTTCATAAAATAAAGTATTCTAAATTCTTGACAAGATATGAATAATGATTCCATACAAAATTATTAAATACTAGTTGCTCTATTCCCAGTTACCTTTGAAGTTTATCCCTGATATTTTTCTTTGTTTCAAGGTACTCTGCACATTTTTTGTAATTCAAAATAATTTTTGAAAACATTATTAACTTTATTATTATTTAATCTATATTAAATATTTCAACAAAAAATAATCAACATTAAAAAAGAGTGCAATTTAAAATAATGCAGAACAAATTAACACCATAATATGAATCTTGAAAATATGCAGTTGATACTTAAAAGCTACCATTTGGAGGTCATTCTGTTGTATAAGAATAAAGGATTAACATGTCTTTCAAAAATTTTTTTTTTATGATTTCAGATTTTTCTACTAATGTATTTTACATACTCTTTTGAATTTATCATTTTGGTTTTCTGTAAAAAGTTGCTTCTACTCAAATCAGTCAGTGATGCTAATGAAGCTTTATTATATCAGATTATTAAACACTGTCTATCTTATACATATACAAACAAGGCACTTGCCTAGAGCCTGGTAATTAAAAGAACTGTTCATCTCAAACTGAAAATATTTTCAAATTTTAAATTACAAAGAAATATTTTACATAGTTTATGGGTATCATAATTAATTTCTTCATAATACATTCTGTAACATAAAATATAGCTCTATAGAGTGTAAGAGTATTAGGAAGCATAACATACTGCATCCCAGTAGCCATTAATGAAGTAAGAAAGTAAAAATTAAATCAACTAACTTTGAATCAAAAGTGTACATGTGATGATAATTGAAGCAAAGACAAAAAAGCCATTGTAAGTCATTTTTGCAATAGAGCAATTAAATGCATAAGATTATTCAAAGATGGGAAAATGATGTTCTGTCCATAAGATCCCAGGATCTGGATGGAATGATATCATCATGATGTAAAAGAACATCAAATTCTTAATGTAGAAGTGTCTACCAAGAATTATTTTTTGGATTACAAGGATGCTACACACAGAATTTGAACATCAAGTTCCTTGTAGACACTGTCAAAAACAAAATCTGGAATTTCAATAAGGCAGCTTGATTGAAAATTCAAGTGCATTCAGTAACATATTGTCAAAATGCTCAAGAAAAAGATGGACATCAAATATCAAAAGCAAAAAAACAATCATTTAAGGAATGGAAACAGGACTGTAATTAACATTAACAAAATTTAAAATATTTACTATACTACTTAATATTTACTACTTAAATATTAAATTATAAAATATATATAAAAGATAAATTTAAAACAATGGAGTAGGTTGCATACATATATAAAAAAATATTATTCTACAAATAAACCATTTTTAGAAAGATTTATCAAGTAATGTTATACTCATTCTATTCCAACTTTGAGAGATTTACAAAAAAAAACCAAATAACAATCAAGAATTAAACATTTATTTTACGTTTTTTCTCCTCTTAGAATCCATATGCATTTCATCTCATACTGGCCTCATCAGTGGATACAACCATAGGTTAACAAGAGTTCAATAATAATTGACTATATTGTCCCAGCATGCATATACAACAGCACCCAAATTCAAATTTATTGCATTTGCATAACTCTGTATACAATAATGTTCTATAATGCATCTTTTTACCATATTTTTTCTTTATATAAAATTTTTACATTATTTCTATTAATTTTACATTTAAAAGTATTGCAATGCTGGTGCCAAAGTGATTCATTTTGTTTTAGTCATATTGCCACCTCATGTTCTTTCAGTTGTTTTTCAAGTCTTCTCCCTGTTTCTCCTATGTAGCATTTTGGATTTGAGCACGTACATAATATTTTGTAAATTACACCTGCAACATCCAATTGATTTTCTTGTATATTTTTGTCTTCTTTATTAATAAAATTCATTATATCAATTAATCTATTTTTTGCTTCGCTACTATACAAATCGAAAATTTATTAAAATATTTTATATTTTTCATATAAATTGTTTATATATGAAAACTTTCATTTTTAACATTATATCTATTATTTATATAGTATTCATACCACTTACTTATGAGGTTCTTTGGGTAGTTATTTAGTAAATATTTTTTAAAAAGCTGTCTTTTTTCTGTTTCAATACCTTCTTGTAATGTTCTATTCAGTATTTTCTTTAATTCCATCAGAAAGGTGTTTCTCTTGATTTCTATTGAGCAATATTATTTATAGTTAATTATTTTTTAAATATTGCATGGTTTCTTGTACTTACAAAAGTTTAGTTTTTCTTCTTCTCTTTTTATGGTAATATCAAGATAATTCAGTTCCTGGTTATTTTCATCTTTGTGTGTAAATTGTAGGTTATTATTTAACTTTTTTGCATATTCTTCGACTTCTTTAGCTGTGGTTATTTGTGAATCATATATTATTATGAATTTTATTAATAAAGAAGACCAAAAAATACAAGAAAATCAATTAGAGGTTACAGGTTAATTTACAAAATATTATGTATGTGCCCAAATCCAAAATTCTACATAGGAGAAACAGGGAGAAGACTTGAAAAACAACTGAAAGAACATGAGGTGGCAATATGACTAAAACGAAATGAATCACTTTGGCACCAGCATTGCAATACTTTTAAATGTAAAATTAATAGAAATAATGTAAAAATTTTATATAAAGAAAAAATATGGTAAAAAGATGTATTATAGAACATTATTGTATACAGAGTTAAGCAAATGTAATAAATTTGAATTTGGGTGCTGTTGTAGATGCATGCTGGGACAATATAGTCAATTACAGGTTAACAAAAGTTCAATTCTTGTTAACCTATGATTGTTAACTCTTGTTAACCTATGGTTGACAAGAGTTGTTAATTCTCTTGAACTTTTGTTAACCTATGGTTGTATCCACTGATGAGGCCAGTATGAGATGAAATGCATATGGATTCTAAGAGGAGAAAAAATGTAAAATAAATGTTTAATTCTTGATTGTTATTTGGTTTTCTTTTGTAAATCTTCAAAGTCGGAATAGAACGAGTATAACATTACTTGATAAATCTTTCTAAAAATGGTTTATTTTTAGAATTATATATATTTTTTAATATTAAGTTATAATTAAATATTATCTTGGCTATGATAGCAATTATCATTTATTATCATAATCATAGCAATATTAAACTTTGATAATTTTTTAAAAATCTGTTTAAACAGAAACACATTTTCATTTCAATAACACTTCATTTGCTCAAATATGACATGAGTGTTTTTTGAACAAATTTTTTTCTTAAAATTGATTACACAGATTATTTATATACATACACTCACATATACATTTACACACATTATGCATTTTCTCATTCTGGATGTTTACAATAAGCAAATAGATTTACCCCTACAAAAGCTTTTACCATATCTCCCCCTTCAAACATAATGACTTTGACTTCTTTACATCTATTTATCTTTTAATATGTTCCTTTTTTTTTCTTAAGCTCGTAATATCTCTCTTAAGCTCATATTCATCCATTTGTTCTATCTTTTCTAGGTTTGTCCTCTCATGCTTATTGTTTAAAATATCTGTGTGTACTTTGTCATCTCTCTCTTGCTCATTCTGTCAACATGTCCAAACTAACAAATGCAAATTTACTTTTCACAAACATTTTCCTTTTCACATTGCACTTCTTTAGTGCATTCACATTTCTAACATAATTATATCTCATCACATATACATTTCTCAAATAATGCATCTCACAAGAGGATATAAGTTTCTGTCACTAGGGCCAAACTTAAGCTGATTGGGACTAGATTCTGCACAAGGATTATAACTTCTGCAAAAAGAAAAAGTTTCATTCTAAACAAGAAACTGCCATCCTTTTTTGTGAAAACTATAGTTTTTAGAATTAGTAACATTGTTTAATTGTTGTTTTATTTTTTATTGAGCACAAACCAAATCCCACATTTGCTAAGACCAGGAATGTCTATCATACCAATATCTCACTATCATACAACAATATAAGTATTTAAAAAAAATAAATAAATAAATAAAAACTTGCAAACTGAATGAATTTATAAAATGGATAACACATTTTAATATCCTTTACAAACTATTTGCTAAACTAATGTTTTTCAGCTGGTTTATAGCTTCATCAGATTAAAAAAAAATCCAATATATTTTCAAACACAGGATTTAAGTTCAATCTGATAAAGAGGGAAACTAACTCAAAAAATATTAGTTTAGCAAATAGTTTATGCCAGATAGTAAAAAATGTGTTATTCATTTTATAAGTATCAAACCACTCTTATATATAATCATCTAGTCTTTATGATGAGTTTATGTTCTCTAGCAAGCTATTTACAGTTACTAATTTGCTCTGCATTAGATTAAATGACATTTTCTTTTGTCTTACCATTGATTTATTAAATTTTGTGTTATTTACAATTATTTAATTAATATATATATAAAACTAATATTGTTTATATAAGAAATTATTACAAGCTGCAGCACAGACAAGAGAACACATAATATTGAGATTGTGATGCCAAAGTCAGGAATGGAGCTCTAGTATATTTACATTTACATATCTTTGTCAATTTTTATTTTTATCCTAATATGAAATGATCAAAATAAATTTTTTCATTGTTGACTATATCAAAAACAGATTCCATGTCAAATATGGTTTTTGAATAAAACTATACAAATATTAAGACATCCTGAAATAATTTATATTTATTTAATACTTAAAATCAATTTATATTATACATTATATTATATCCTGTCTATAAATTAGTTTCATTCTTTGTGCTATTCCTTCACAGTTAAAAGTAAATAATTAATAAAAAAATACATAATTCAATAACATGTTTTTATATATGTTAAATGTTTTTAAATATAACAAATTAAGAAATTCATACTTACTACTTGAAAAAGTGCTAAGTAAGCATTTAATACATTATCAAAATTGATGAGAGGATTAAACCAAGTATAATTTCTTTCTACACATGCATCCTTTGTTGGTATAAAGGTCCAATTGAGTTTTTCACCCTCCTCATCCACACATTTATGAAATTTTCCATTAAATAACTGTACACCCATAATTGCAAAAATTAACCAAAAGATGAGGCACACTAATAACACATTAAAGATGGCAGGGATAGCTTGTACAAGTGCATTTACAACAACCTATAAATTTATAGTAATTGAATTCAAATATTAGAATATAATTATTTTAAAATTTTATTCATGTGGATTTAAAATTTAAGATCATCTTTTGATATTTTATAACAAATTTACAGGAATATTAAATTCTGAATTTTACTAGTTAATGAAAAATCCTACTTAATCATTGATTGTTGAATACATATAAATATCAAGTAATGACATTGAAATATACATAAAAGAATTTTTGATTTTATAAGGCATACTTCCATGCTTTTATTTAAGAAAAACTTCAGATAATTTTTTCTAAATGTAGAATTGATATTTGTAGTATTTATAAATGATTAAAGGAGTCACAAACCTGATAGTTGACTAATATTTTGTAATTAGCAACTCACCCTCATTCCTTGGAAGCGTGATAGAGCTCTTAAAGGACGAAGAGCACGAAGAGTACGCATTGTCTTGAAGGCTTGAATGTTTCCACCCCCTACTAATGTAGCTGTGAGATTGACCACTGATACCTAGCAGAGTAAGAAGTTATGTTGAATTTTATTGTTTACTTACATATGGGCCATAGGGATGGAGAGGTAGGCATCATAATGGAGCAGGTCAGGTTAGGTTAGATGAGGGAAGGTTGCTGATATGATTCCCCCATTTTTGATTAAATAAATGAATTCTTAAACTTCATTGTAAATTACCAAAAATGATTTTCAAATCAGATTAATAAGTAATGATAAAATTTTATATAAAAATTTATACCAAATATAATAAAATATATATTAATCTGATTATCCAATTTTGGCAAAATACATTTTCTATTTTCTTCAGTTTCCTTAACTGCTTTTCTTTTTTTGCATTTGATGATGTATTTCTGTCTGTACTATACAAACATGAACATGTCACACACACATACATAAACAAACATGTCAACACCATACAAAACCACCTTTGATATTAGTGATATTAGTGATATTAAAGAGGTTAATGTGTATTTGGGAAGCTTACACTGCAAGCACAATTGCTGAACAACAAGCAACATATAAGCACAAAGCAAAACAGAAATGCTTTTGGCAATTCTGTATTCCCAGATTACACATACCTCTAAAATAAATTCATCACTAATACCCTTTACTTACTCTCATTCCCTCCAGTCGAGATAATGCACGGAGGGGACGTAAGGCTCTCAGGGTTCGCATAGTTTTAAAGGCAGGTATGTTGCCAAATCCCATAAAACCAACAGCCAGGTTAAACAGGGAAACCTAAGGTAGTATCAGGTCATCAGGGTGAAAATGATGAGGTTGATGGGAGGGGCAAAGCCCAAACACAAGAAGATTGCATGAAGGAAAGAAAAAAATGTGGGTAATTAGTTTAAAACTAATATTATGAGGAATTATACTACAAGGTAGACAGGTAAAAATCAGGATTATATAAAATGGAATTTTATTCGAATATATATATCTACAAGAAAATTATTTCCACCAGAATACAAAATAAGTTATATATTTAATCTATAATACTTAGTTATAATCCCATTATCTGAATAATGATATGAATAGAATATCAAAACAAAACTAATAAGTAAATTTATTAGTTTTGTTATTTATTTAATAAATATTTATGAAAATCATATTCCAAATTATATTTACCAATCATATATCAGATAGTCCAAAAAATACAAAATAATTATTAATTTATTATATTAAACCTGCTTCTTAAATTTCAACAAAAAAGTTTTTTCATTGAGAATACACCAAATAGTAACTGCAACATTACAGTTTACGGAAACAGCTTAGCAAAAACAAAATCTGTACAGCTGTTGCTTTTGCAAAACCGTTTCTATAAAAAATTATCTCAAAGTTTAATAAAAAGGATTAAATTTTCTGTAATGAATAATAAATATGCATCTAATAATTTTTTTAATCTGAATTTTAATTCTTAATTTAGCTAATTTGTTGGTGTGTTATCTATCCTATCCCAACTCAAGCACATTAATTTAAATTTCTCTCTATCAAGAAATTTTAAAACTATTATACTATTATAAACTATTATTTCTTTATGTATATACAAATATACATCTTTTCTGTTCTAGAAACACTTTTTTACTGCAACTAACATTTTTAACCTCATTCATAAACCTTCTTCAGGTTCACAAAACAAAATGAAGTATTCCTTTAACAAACATTCAAAGGTATATATTACAGAATGAATGTACAAATTTTAAAATCTTTTGAATTTCATTTAAATATATATCCCATCAAAAAAGTGAATAAAATAAAATTACAAATAGAAGTAGTAGATGTGTGAATTTTCTTATTTATTTGTATTTTTTGTTATTTGTATATTTTTCTTCTATTTGTAATTTTATTTTATTATCCTTTCATGAAATAGAGATTAAGTATAATTTGAAATTTTAAAAGTCTGTAGATTTGTTTTAAAATATACCAGCTGGTNACTTCCCTAAATTCATAATTATACTGATAACTACAAGTACAAATTTAATTATAAAATTATGGATTTTATAAACCTTTTCATGAAGTGTTTAATCTTTATATGTTTAATTTGAAATTTCAGAATTAAGTTATAAAATATGACCTTGTTTGACTCAGGGTTATATTAGCAGATAATACATAAAATAATATATGTATAGATTTTTACTTCATTCCAAGTGCTGTAGTCCTAGATAATTGTCTAACCACTTATGCAACCATTTACAATTAACAGAAAGATGTTAAAATCTGTTTAAAAACATTTTACTTATGTCTTTTCTATAATGAATATCATTTTAGCCCATAGATGGCAAACCTTTGAGTCAGTGTACTATATGGTAGGCATATTTATCTTTAAAAGTGTTTGTACATACCAAAGATTTAGACTCTGAATAAGAATATTTAAAAAGCAAAATGAATATGCTTTAATTAGAATAAATGTAAAGAAGCTGATTGGGTGATAAACCAAAAGAATGATTGAGAAAGGCAAGTGATAAACCGAAATCATACAATACATCACATGCCAGATGATTTCTCCTGACATGCCGCTTTGGGCATGCATGCCATAGGTTCGCCACCCGTTTTAGTCTAATGTTTGTAACTGTATAACGAGTTCTCTGTATTGGAATGTCAAAGCTAGAAAACCATGATTTCTTGATTTAAGATGGGTTATCCTTTTTNAATAAGAATATTTAAAAAGCAAAATGAATATGCTTTAATTAGAATAAATGTAAAGAAGCTGATTGGGTGATAAACCAAAAGAATGATTGAGAAAGGCAAGTGATAAACCGAAATCATACAATACATCACATGCCAGATGATTTCTCCTGACATGCCGCTTTGGGCATGCATGCCATAGGTTCGCCACCCGTTTTAGTCTAATGTTTGTAACTGTATAACGAGTTCTCTGTATTGGAATGTCAAAGCTAGAAAACCATGATTTCTTGATTTAAGATGGGTTAGCCTTTTTGCTGTCTGTGAAAACATAAACCTGCATATCGTTGGTGCACAAGAATAGTGACACAACTCAAAAAAATAGATCTTCCAGAACAGCCATTTAAAAGTTTCTTGTTTCCTGCAAGGTTTTGTCATGATCTCGGATTTTTAAAATTTTCAAATCTTTTTTTGGAAATAAATATTAGTGTTTGTTCTTCCACATAAAAATATCGGGATTTTGCTATACATTTCTACAATAAACTTGAAATTGGAAATTTTTGAGTTGTGTCACTATTCTTGTACCCCAACGATATATAATATAAATCCTGCATAAAACAAAATCCTACTGTACATGTTACATTTTTACTTTTACAGATTTTCTGTTTTTTCTGTTTGAAAGTAATAATCTTGTTTCTTTTATTAGATCAGAGGGTGTTTGAAGAAACATAATTTTTCATCTAATGTTAAACTTTTTCATAAATTACCTCGTAGACTTGTCTTTCCTTTAAGAGAGTTGGTTGGAGAATCTATTCTTCATGCTGGGTAAGTTGTTATTTTTATATTTATGAATATATAACATACAAGGTCTGTTCAAAAAGTATCTGACCTTTGGTCGGCAAAAATAAATTTATTGACTTTGCGGTACAAAACCCTAATTCCCTTCAAAGTAGTCTCCTTGGTAATGTATACACTTCTCCCAGCATTCCTGCCATTGCTGGAAACACTGCGTCTTTTGGAACGCATCTTTTGGAATGGCCATCAGCCGGTCCGTCGGATTCCGCATGATGTCTTCTCTCGACTAAATTCGGGTTCCTTTTAGCGGCATTTTCAGCTTTGGAAATAGCCAAAGGTCACACGGAGCCATGTGGAGAGAGTACGGAGNAATTTTCTTATTTATTTGTATTTTTTGTTATTTGTATATTTTTCTTCTATTTGTAATTTTATTTTATTATCCTTTCATGAAATAGAGATTAAGTATAATTTGAAATTTTAAAAGTCTGTAGATTTGTTTTAAAATATACCAGCTGGTTATAAAATAAGTATCTCTATTTGGAGCTGTCAGTAGCTCAATGGAATAACCCAAATAAACACCAAAATTAGTACACTTACTATTTAAGAAGGAAGAAAAATGGAACAAGAATGAGCAATTATTTATTATGACAGCATCACAATGCCAGGCTGCAATTTTTAATCATATTTTTAATTTATTTAATTTAAAATATATGATCTTCACCTCAAATCACTATTAGTGTTTTGCCCCTGTACATCATATGTTTCCTTTAAGATTAGAGTCATGCCAGTCATCTATTAACTGCTTTCAGAGGAAAGTTTTAAATTGAAATAATGTAACTTTCGGTTTGCATCAGACATTTGTATATAGTTATTTAGGGCCTCTAGTCCCTAAGATTTCTATAGCTGGTCTCAGATTTCACCTACATACAGTGGAACCCCGGTTAACAAACGTAATCCATTCCACAAGTCCGTTCATTAACCGAAGCAATTTTTCCCATAGAAATTAATGCAAATACAATTAATCCGTTCTAGTTTCTACAGAGCTTAATGCTTGGAAGAGGAATCCTCCTACACAAAAATATTGAGCAGCACTGCATCAGGAGTTTCTTCGAGTCGAGGTCTAAAGTTGATTGTCTTACTCTCTTAATCAAAATTTTTCTAAAATGCACTAGCACAGTGTTGTTCATTAAATTAATGATCCTATTAGCCACAACTTTGTTAGGATGGTGCTTCTCGATAAATTCCTGCACATCATTCCATTTTCTGCAAATTTCCTTCATCTCAGCACTGGTGATTTCTTCCCTAGCCTCTTCCTCTGACGAATGCTCTTCTTGTAAGACTTTCAACTGTTCTTCCTGCATGGCAACCAGCTCTTCTGTCATTAATTCATCTTTCAGCAACTCCTCCACATCTGCATAATCTACCTCTACTCTCAAACTCTTGCCAATGGACACAATTTTATGCACTACATCAGAAGAGCTCTCTTCTTCAAATTCTTGAAAGTTTCGCTCTGGGACACAAGTTGGCCAAAGTTTCCTCCAGGATGATTGTAAAGTGTGGTGAGAGACCTCACTCCAGGCTTTGTCAGTAAGGTTGATACAATGCAGGATGTTAAAATGCTCCTTCCAAAAAGCTCTGAGAGTTAAGTTGGTATCATTGGTAACCTGAAAACACATGGTAAACAGTACCTTGGTATACAGCTTTTTAAAATTGAAAATCACTTGCTGATCCATTAGTTGCAGTAATAGAGTTGTGTTGGTTTGAAGGAATTTGACCTAAATGAAGTCATGTTCACTATCCAAATTGTCCTCCAAATTTGGTGGATGTGCTGGAGCATTATCCATTAAGAGAAGACATCTAAGAGGAAGATCCATTTCCTGAAGATAATTTTTAACAGTAGGATCAAACACTTCTGTGAGCCAATCCATGAATAAAGTCCGAGTTGCCCAGCCTTACTATTTGCCTTCCATTATACAGGCAGTTTGGACTTTATCACATTTTTGCTCTTAAAGGCATGGAGATTTTCAGCATTGTAGACTAAAAGTGGCTTAATTTTGAGGTCACCACTTGCATTAGTGCAAAATAAAAGAGTGAGTCTATCCTTCATGGGCTTGTGCCCAGGAAGTGCTTTCTCTTCTTGGGTTATGTACGTTTGTCTAGGCATTCTTTTCCAAAAAAGACCGGTCTCATTGCAATTAAACACTTGATTCCAGACGTATCCTTCACTTTTTACACACTCTGCGAATTCATCTACAAATGCTTTTGCTGCTTTTTCATCTGACCTCGAAGCCTCCCCGTGTCTTATGACACTGTGAATGCCAGTTTGTTGACGAAACCTATCAAACCACCCTCAGCTTGCTTTAAAGTCCTGCCTGTCTGCACTTATACCGGGTGTCTGGGTCAACAAGTCATTGTATAAATTTTTAGCCTTTCCACAAATTATAGCTTCACTAACACTGTCTCCAGTAAGTTGCTTTTCATTGATCCATATTAGCAATAGTTTTTCAACTTCATCTAAAACTTTAAATCTTTGTTTCAATATTACATTCACTCCTTTAGCCACTTCGGCAGCCTTAAATGCTTTTTTGTTTTTAATAATTGTAGATATAGTCGATTTTGCCACATTATATTCTTTAGCGATGTCAGAAACATGAATGCCATTCTCGTATTTTGCAATAATTTCTTTCTCTGATGTCACACTAAAACGTTTTCTATTTCCACTGTCACTTTTCTCTTTCTTCAGTGCCATATTGATTAAATATACAGTACAGTAATACCTCAACTTATGCTATCCCGACTTATGTGGACCCAGAGTTACGCGATTTTCAAATCTCGTTGATTCGTCTTTTGTTTGAGTGCCATGCAACTCTTGATTACTCACCCCCCACACTATTGTTCAGCTTACATGTTTGGATGTGTTGCACGGAATCGACACATAGCTACAATTTATTTTGTGTTATTTATTTCTGTGTTTGTTATATCTACGGAGACTTGAGAAACTCTATGTGGTGATTTCTTGTAACCGTAAATGAATCAAAAGACGAGATAAGATTAACAAGAACATTTATTAGCTCACATACATCCGACTTGGATTTTACACAAATTGGGAAATTATACCCAGACTTACATGAATTCAACTTATGCGGTTATCGCTCGGTTCCACCTATTGCATAAGTTTGGAGTATTACTGTATAAATAACAAAACTAAAAAACAAAGTTTAGCACACTCGAAAAAGCAATGCTTACCTTGTGCACGCCTAAGAGTAACTGAAATTTGTGAGGTTCCAGAACGGCTGGAAACTATAATTTAATATCCACATGTTAAAAGTGAAAACAATATTGTAGTTGTCAAAACAAATGTGATGCGAAAACAAATGATGTAATGGATCAGGTGGATCAGGTAGAATGTCTGCGGGGAAGATGAAACTCTGACAAAAGTGGTCATAAACAGTTGATCTAGGTTAAATTTTTGGAAAGGGGAAACGATTTGACGGGTATAAAAACATTGTGTACAATCATTAAAGTTCTAAAATGACAGATAGCAGAAACAATAGGCTAAATTATGAGTGAAAGGCTTATAGGTTTATCAACAATCTCCGATCAGAGTCGATGAACAGGTGTCAAATAAACACCTCGGAACAAACCTTTCTTGTGACCTGATCTGGTTTTGGTTTTCACCTGGAGACAAAGAAGAAAACAATCGGGAAGCGAGGAATGGGACGCAGGACTAATCGTAAGGTGAGATTAAAGGAAGAAATACTATAAAAACCCTGAATCTCAAGGTCAAAACGCAGTTTTCCTAAAAATTCTATGGCAATTAATCTGTATCGTCTTCATCTGGATTAAGCTTGAAGTTGTGCCTGCTAAAATTTGTGTTGTGTCTTGTGGACCACTCCAGTCGTTGCAGCTCTGTCACCTACCATCGCTTCTGTGACCAAGCGAACCCATCTCGTCTTCTCTGGGGCTACGACTGATCAGCTTGCACTATCGTAGGACCAGCGATACGCCACTCCTCAGTGCCAGGAGAAAATACTGTAGATAAGCCATTTCCAACCATCTCAAATATATAAGCATCTTCCTGTTCTAATAAACAATTTTCACTATAAAATACTTGTCATCTGTGTCTCCTCCGCCACCACCAACGTACAAATGGACCCTAGACCATCACCGACACACGATTAACTGATTCCACCTAAAAGTCAGCAAGCTTACAAATTTGACACAAAAAGCCGTTAAGTTTGTTATCCAAGACAAAATTTTTGCAAAATAAAAGTTTGTTAACCAATTTGGTCATTAACCAGGACATTTGTTAATTAACTGGGGTTCTACTGTAACTCCATTCTCAAGATTAAGGAAAGACAGATGCCAAATGACAGTGGGAATTTATAGATCAATAATCTTTTCAAATTGCAGCCCAAAAAAAAGTTAAAAAAAAGTGCTGATAGAGGGTGCTGTGAAGTTTGAAATATAATGTGTAATATAAGAAAAAGAATTAAGGTGCAAAAACTGATGGCACATTTATTGGAAAATGCGCAATTGGACATATGGAACCTGAACTTTTGTTGATGTGACAGCATAAGAACATTAACTGTGACATTTTCCAATAAATGTGCTGTCAGTTTGTAAAGAACCAAGTCCGAGCATTATTTTTAGTTACTTTTATTTTTGCTTTTATTCTATTTTTGTTTGGGGCTTATGTTTTGTTAGGACGAAGGTTTCCTCACCACTCACCTTAGAAACTTAAAAATAGAAGAAAGAGAACCAACTCACTGACAGAAAAACAACACCGTAGAAAAACTCGCGCACACTTGCACTCCCGAGTGGAAAAAAGTAAGTCCACACCGACAAAGACAGGGGGAGACCCCACAAAAGCACAACTAAGGAACTTGCTGAACCTTATAGAATTGTTTAGTCGCTGCTTGACCGAAGTCTATCAAGCTGAGACAAAAAGAACGTATGTAGCCGGCTTACAAAATATATTGCTTTATTCAACACGGGTTTCGAGTTTACAACCGAGAGCTCGTACAAACTCTCAACAAAACCTACGTTACAATACCACGTGTCCGAATACAAAACACTTAACCCCTTCACTCTCCCTTTTCAATTATTTTAGCATACACAGGCCGGACCTGTTACATTAACACGCGAAGAACAAATCCTTTTATCAGAATACTCACTAGGAGAATCCGGTACTTGAAAAACGGTCAGGTGTTGGACCAAAGTCTCTTCCTGTTCGGGAAATATATGTCCCCGTCGATGTATCGGGTAATATAGCTTCGTATATTGTAAAGTTCACTCGGTCCCCTTTTCGCACAACACGGATGCACTTGGATTTTGTCCCCTTCTACTCGGTAAGTCTCTCCTTCTCTCAATGTCGTTGTATAACTTCTTTACCGTCGACGATCTACCACAGACGACAGGAACAAGAACCCAAAAACTCCCCGGCGTCACATATGTCTCTGCTATATATACCCCTGGGTTTCCAAACCCACCTGACCTCTTCGTTGGCCAATCACAAAGGTCCAGGTTCAACAAAGGGACATGGGTAGAGATTAAGGGGTACACGTGTCTCACAAACACAAAGAAGAACAAAAAAAAAAAACGACACAATTGAAATAAGTAAAAATAAAACCTAGTACAATGGTAATAACTATGCAAATCATATTTATATACAATAATAAGCATAACAGTAAGTTGCGGAGCACTACAGAATAAAACATCCCGAAAATTGTCAAAAAGAATAATGTAAAAGGTTAGCGAGTATTGTCAGAAAATAGACTGCCAGGCAAACAGGAAAAGTTTATTGTTAGCAATAAGTATGCAAATGAGGGGAGTGATCTCATTCAGAATTGTGACATCACCTCACAGTATAAAGACTGAACCTCAAGTGAAGATGCCGAGGTGAGCTTCTGTTAGCAACGAGCGTGGTGAGCTTTGTAGCAGCAAACAAGAGAGAAGTGTCCGATAGGATAAATTAGTTCCAAGGTGATTTTGAAGTTATTCGATTGGTGGATCAAAGGTTAGAGAAAGTCTTGAGAGTTGAGGAAAAAGGTTCCTAGTATATTGAGGTGACGATTAGGATCTTTAATTTGTAAGAACTATTGTACATAAGTTAATTCTTTGAAATTTTGTCAAATTCCAAAGGGAAATAGAGATAAGTTAGAAAATAGATTGATTTGAGTTTTGTCAGGTTGATTCTTATTGATTTACATTGAATAAATTGTTATTTGATTTTTACTAAAGTTTGTATATAGTTATTACTAGAAATTTTATTAAATATTGGATTGTTTTTTTTTTTTTTTTACAAACTTTGTCATTATTTAATTCGGTGCACGCTTAAGTCCAGGCCTGGCACATTAACGCAAATCCGCGTAAAGTACCCGTTAGGGAACAGATATTTCCGGCACACAGTCGTGTTGATAATCGTTGGAAAAGTCAGAAAAATAATATAGTATTTTACAAGTTTTTGCACCTTAATTCTTTCTTCTTGTATTACACATTACATTTCAAACTTTACAGCACCTTTTATCAGCATTTTTTAAAACTATTTTTGTTTCTTGTTCCATTCTTCTTCCCCCTTAAACATAAGTGTATTTTGATCTCATTTAGGTTATTCCTTTAATGTACTGACAGCTCCAAATAGAGATACTTATTTTATAAACACCCAATACTTATATTCAAATGTGCTATATAAATATTCTATTTTGGTTTGTGAACCTTTTTTTGAAAAAGGCATATAAATGAGACCAGAATCATTAATTGCAGTAAAAAAGTGTTGCTGGAAGAAAAAAGATGTTTGTTTATATATACTAAACTTTATATTTGCAAAATCAAAATTCCATGATCCTAGTAAAGTACGCACATTATATATGGTTGTTTTTGATCCAATAGTTCATTTTATACAGGGCTCTAAATATATGTTTAAATTAATTATAACAACCCTGTATATGTTGTAAATAAAAACTAAGTTTTCTTGAATATTTAATAAATATGATTAATATATTTAAAAAGGACATTGCATTACTGCCATAAAGTGTGAAAAACACAAACATAAATGTGAATTGAACTGCAAATGAAAAAAATCAAAACTGTGTTTTTAAAGTAAAAATGTTTCAATTAACATTGAGATAATCAAATTTCAAACACTTTCAGCCTTTTTAAAAATCCAAAAATACTTGCTGCTAATAAATTTTTAACTGGTTGGTAAAGATTTTGTTATATGATTCTGTTATTTATTTATTTGGTTCAAAATTCTCTCTATATCTTTGAAAAACTATTATCACTAAAATAAAATCTGTTAATAAAATATTTAATAATTGATGGCTCTTCTAGACAACTTCTTTTATTGAGTGCTGATGCCTCTCCAGTTACCATATTTTCTGTAAAAATTCCATAAATTATTTCTGTTTTTCATTTATAATGGTATAAATATTTTAAATTACAGTTTCCATATGGATTTAATTTAACCTTCATATAAGTAATTTTTCTTACCAAATTACGATAATCATAGAAAGTAACAAAGTTTATTTCTGTCTAGTAGATAAATATAAAAGTATTCTGAATCAGGATTCTGACTTATTATTAACTTTTATTACCATACATTTATATTTTCATTATAATAATTATAATTTCATCATTTACCTGTTTTCAATATACTAACATTTTATTATAAATATTTGATATTTAATTTCATTGAAATTCATCAAGCAGATTTGATATAATGTATAGTAAAAAATATTTACTTAATATAAATGAAAATTAAAACAATTTTTCCACCAATTCGCATGGAAATTTCCAATAAAACCAATGAATGAAAACTTAGCAGTCCTGTTAATTCCAAATTAAAATTATTATATACATATAGAAGTGCAAATTCTGACAAATGAAGCCAATCTTAACCAATCAGAATTTCGATTAACTCATATGGACAAA